ATATATTATATAAATATAGATACATGTGTATATATGCGTATATGTATATATGTCTGTATATATTCAAACATATATATATATTATATATATGTATGTATATGTATATGCATAAATATGTATAGTATATGTATATATGTATATGTATATGTATATATATGATATATAGAATATATTTATATTATATATATATGTATATGTATTATATATATATATATATATATATATATATATATAATATAATTATATATAATATATTATATATATATATATATGGCGAATGGAGAAATTGCTTTCACCCAGCTATGGCCATCGCCACGCCTGCGGAACATGCCCTTTTGTATCACGTTACCACTGGTTACTTAACCTCAACTTGCTATAAGAGCATTAGAAAAATACTGGTTGGTCGCAGCATCAAAATGTTAACGAAAACAGCTCCAACAAACATCAAAATATACACCAGGCACACCATAAGCCCTTGCAATAAACGCTTGTACATAAGCCATTGTAACACCCAAATCCACACAAGATTGTACATGACGTGTTTTGAGCGTATTTGGGGTATATAGTTGAACAAAAGAGGCACGAAAAGACCGAGTCTGAATCTGATTGGAAATGATTTCTACAGAACGCTGCACTCTTACCTGGCGGAGCTGGAGTGAGAGCGCATGGGTCTGCTGTCGTAGAGGAGCCATCGGTGGTGGAGGCGCTGGTAGAAGAGTCTTCGGTGGTGGAGGCGCTGGTAGAAGAGTCTTCGGCAGTGGAGGCACTCGTAGAAGAGCCATCGGTGGTGGAGTCACTCGTAGAAGAGCCATCGGTGGTGGAGGCGCTGGTAGGTAGAAGAGTCTTCTGTGGTGGAGGCACTTGCAGAAGTGGTGGTGGTCGTCGCGAGAACTTGGGTGAGGATACCGGCCGCTGCCACCGTTGGCTCGGTCGGCAGTGCTGTCGGTGGTACGGTCGGCGACGCCATCGGTACCACGGTCGATGGCACGGTCACCGGTGCGATCGATGGCACGGTCACCGGTGCGATCGATGGCACGGTCACCGGTGCGATCGATGGCACGGTCACCGGTGCGACCGATGGTACGGTCACCGGTGCGATCGATGGCACGGTCACCGGTGCGATCGATGGCAAGGTCACCGGTGCGATCGATGGCAAGGTCACCGGTGCGATCGATGGCACGGTCACCGGTAAGATCGATGGTACGGTCAGTGGTATCGTCAGGAGTCCATTGGTCGCCGTTGAGTTGGCTTCGGGCTGAGTGGACGTAGTCGGTGGGCCCTGCGTGGCACGCATTGTATATTAGAAAGTCTTCAGCTTTCATTCACACCGCATGATCTTGTCCGTGCCAAATTGGGGTCGTTGAAGTTCTCACTCTCATGAAATACCAAGTGCTGGATCTGTTTTACACTGCTGCTTTTTCCGATACGGAGTTCGGTAACTGCAGCGCAAAATTTGCGGCCAGAGGCTTATCGACGCATGTGATTGCCAGGCTTTCAGAAAAAGGAGCAGCGAATACACTTACCGCAGTCGGATCTGGTCTGCGGGTATTCGCCTTCAGGACACGAGCAGGTATTGGAGCGACAGACCGCCACCCCATTGGTCAGACTCTCGCAGTCGACGTCCTCAGCGCACCAATCGCCTAGGTAGGCTGTCGGAGAGGGAAAACACTGAAGCCAGTGGCCAACCACTGCCGAGTATGGACAAACACTGACGCCCCTGGCCAAACACTGCCGTTTAGGGACAAACACCGGCGCCCCTGGCCAAACACTGCCGGGTAGAGACAGACGCTAACGCCCCTGGACAACCAATGTCGAAAAGGGACAAACACTTAGGCCCCGCCAAACCGTTCTCGATAGGGACAAACACTTAGGCCCGCAGCCAAACACTATCGGTGAAAGACAAACACAGATGCCCGCGGTCTCTTTGAGAGTTCAAAAGTCACGTTTGCAGTCGTGGTTGGAGAGCGACAGCAGAAAAACCGGCATCGGGATTTAAGACAGAGAATCGCAGTCAACGTTAAGAGTTATGAAGGCATTCGAATTTTAAACGTTATGTTATGAAGGCAACGTTATGAAGGCAGTTGAATTTTAAAAAGCAAAAACATCTGTGCATTGCAGTATGGGTGTGTGTTTTCAGTCTACATTTGAGTGGTGACCCCAAGTTGGACTCCCTGATTTGTCTCAGTTGGGCCGCCAAGAACTAATAAAAACGTGCATAGAACTGAGTTAAAACGACAAATGAACATCAACCCGGGCAAGCATACTGTCCACCTCCGTGATGTGGAACAGGACGCTGGACTGGTCACGCAGTGGCACCGAGTGAGAGGCCAGAATACGTGGACTCGGGCCCGACTGGCGTGGAAAGCCCAGGTGGCTTCTGAGTAACGGCTGTGGATCTGTGCTGGATCGCTCATGTGTGGGGCAACGCGATTGGTGATTCACTGATTCGGTGATTCGATGATCACCCAAAAACTTGTAGTGCCACAAATTGTCCCGCTGAAGGGGCTTGTTCTGTTTACTTTGCCAATGATGTATAAAGAAGTGGCTAAAACGGGAGCCGCGCAGCATCATCGAATGAGAGCTCGCTTTGCCTGAGCTTGTGACGTCACTCAACCAAACTGTGCCAGGGTCAGCGGTTAGAGTCAGAAACCACTGAGTCGAGCTCCTGATCTATGGAAACTATGTACTATGGAAACGTCTTTAACTATGGAAACGTCTTCTCTGGGCAGTTCTTGCGAAATATCAGGAGTTTAGCGTCAGCTTTAGGTTGCATGTGTCTCGACCACTGCATGTGTCTCGAACATTACACGTGTCTTGAACATTACATGTTCC